AAGTCAACACCAAAGAGGAAGTCGAGACAGAAATTTGATTCTCTAAGACTAATGATGTATGTATCCCACCAGAAGGATATATTTTGTCATGATGATTCTTACTAATGATCACCCCAAACCAGCAGTACCCCAYACCCCCAACTGGTYCCCTGCAACCCCAACTGAGATCTCAATATTGGTGGAAAATAACAGTTGAAATTATCAAARCCAGTACCCCATTATTMAGCAAAATTCAACATCATATCCTAAGAAAACTAATGTTCCACTTTATAGAATTTASTAGTTCCACGTAAACACCCACACACCCTCTTGCTGTGCAACTAGAAGTGCCACAAAAAATTCAATGGTTCACCATGTTCATAGCACAGAGGTTACATTACCACTGCTACTATACTGATAGTTTGACTAATGCAAAATTGGCATGGCAGTGCAGGCTTGCAGTTTGACAGTATATGGAGAGCATGASAGGTGGATTGGTGATGCAGATGGTAAAACCACCAACCACTGCTTTCAGAACATCAACGTGTCGTTGGATTTCTGTAAAAATCACACATTTTGTACAACAGAGCTTTGGTAAACATGATGACATGTAAACCACCACCACCAGCAACAACCACAAGGAAAAAACAGGTCAATGCGACTGAGAGAAAGGGGTTTGGATACAGAATCTAAAGAGGTAAATAACCATAGGAGCTCTACCACTAATAKGCTAAAGAGCACAAGCACTGGCTGGTGTATTGACAATACTAGAAATAAGGCTGGTGACACAAATGCTAATATGATTGCCAGCCTCATCAGACAAAACAAAGAACTGAAAAGGTTGTTGATGGAAAAAGAAACAGAGAAGATTACAAGGGAGTCAAAGAAGGTAAAAACAGGTCTCAGTTGAGCAGCAGGGACCGCACAAGGTACAGTTGTTGTYGCGGTGGTCCCCAGTGAGAAAATATCAAAATTGAACAAGCAATTGYTTACCAGAAATTTTCAAGGGTACATGGAATCTAATTTCTTTTTGGGACATGAAATTTTTGATGAACAAAAAGATCATCAACAAATATGTGTGTCAACAGGCTATCAAGGGAGGTTGTGTTAGCAGCTGTCAGGGGTTTGGTGGGGATGAAGAACTTTGTCTCTACTTGGAGAACACCCTGTTACYACAAGTGCTCACCAACAAAATATGACACAACACTCAGAGTTATGCAAGGGAAAAATGGCTTGGTACGTACCACTAGAAGAATTGTCCGCTGATGAACCAGCTTCCCCAATAATGGCCGAGTAACCATGGACATGTCCAATTTCCTTTCTTAATCTGTAATAGATGACAGCAAAAATGGAAATGCCCTGGACAGATTTCCAGGAATGATGGGCATTTCTGATTAGGACATAAAAGATAAAGAGAAGAAGATTTTAGACCCACTCTACAGGGCATATGGTAGTGCAGTCAATCTGGAGTTTTATTATTTTGTTACAAGAATTTTGGCATCCTTTAATGCTAGGAATAACAATTCCAAAGGAAGAAATACAAAAGGGACAGAGCACTTGCTCAGTGAAATATTCACTGTTGAGGACGAGGCATTTGCACTCCTGATGCTTCACAACAAACTTCATGTATGGGAGTCCAAGCATTTGCTTGGAAAAATTTTCAGTGTGAAGGACAAGGCATCATTTGTGCTCCTAATGCTCTACTACAATGAAACACTGTTTGTGATGTAGTACCAGTAGTCCTAACAATGGTGGTGGAGCCACCTCCATGTGCATTCATGTTCATCACTTCTTGTTACTTGTTTCTGGAAAGAAATGCTGTTCTAATCTCTGATAGTATTAGTACAATGATGGGGGAAAATCTGCCTCTCTGACTGACAGACTCTCTAATTCTCATTGGTCCTTTGGTGGCAGAAGCAAGCAAGTTGTGCTGGTGATACAAAATTACAGAGCTTTTTTTAATGTACTTATTACCAGTTTGAAATCAATAGCATTATTTTTCCCTTCTGTAGTATGCACATACAAGTACAATTACAAGATGTAATTACATATACCAAACTTTTTAACCAGATGTCATTACTAAGGTCTGTTGATGATGATGGTTGAGGTGATGAGGGATATGGTGAGTCCTATGTTGCTCATAACCTGTGAAATGTTGATAGGCTCCTTAGTGTACATGAATATGTGTTTTACAATAAAGAGTGAGGTTATTCACTATCTACTTGTGATTGTGGGTTGTCCTCACATTCAGGGCCCTCCAGTACCCACACAGCGTGAGTGAAAATTGACTCATGGCAATCTTGTTTCATGCATGAATATTTTTGTGAGCTTCACAGAGTGTGCGTGCGCACTAAAACCAAAACTCCCCCTTTACAACAATAATTTGGGGGCAAAATTTGTGGGTTATTTTTCACAGAAAAACATTTTTAAAATGTGGGTTATTTTTCCCAAATCTAACCCACGTTTCCAAAACATAGTTTTTTTTTTCCAAAAAATAACCCACATTTTGAAACATGGGTTCTTGGGTTAACCCACAAATAACCCACAAAATAACCCTAATCTAGATATCGTACCATATTCATTTTCTGTGAACCAAAACTTTTTTGTGCAAGTTACACTCATTTTCCGTGAGCCAAAACTTTTTTGTTCACATTACATTCATTTTGCGTGAGCTCTAGTTTTTCTTGTTTTTCTTTGATGTCAAAGGAATAATTTGCCGTAAGCTTGCTCTATCTCTTTTATCTTCAACTGTAGATTTTTAAAAATAACAATCAAGGTCTGCAATGACAAGCAGGCCCTTTGTTGGAATTCAAGTGTGCATTCCCCTTGGACCCCTGAATGTGGCGTTTTTTCCCCCTGGCCTCAATCTTCTTCTGTTAATATCAATGGCCTTGTTTTCACCATCCATAGCAACAGCAGCTGGTTCATGGTGAATGTAGATCTTTAATATAAGTGCACATTGCATCCAGTTTTTTACTTGTTATGCCAAACTCAAAGAAGCTCCATGCAGGAAGAGGAGCGCAAGCAACAATTTTGACCATCAGGCCTCCACAACATGTTCAAAACCAACACCATTGAAGCTACATCGTGCTTCTGGACCACAAAGAAAATAACTATGAATTTTGTTATCTTCATGAAAACAAGATGGGGAGTGATAATTTTGTTCTTATGACAGGACMTTGTCATTTTGTGAAGGTTATTAAAGAAGGAGAATCAATGCATCTTTTTGACAAAATCTACAAAGAGCCAAGTATTCCATGGGCAGATTCAAAGCAAAAAAATATTGTACAAAGACTTAATGGTGGAAGGCACCATTCCTATTGATTCAAAAGAATTAGCAAGGAGCAGGAGTCCATGATTGGCTAGCATATTGTCTGCAGTGACAACGTGAGTTAGTAGAGTAGTGTTATCCATTTGGAAAGGTTCATGGAAGATGATCGCTTTTTAGCTAGTAGTAGTTACAACAAAGAAACTAGCAATGTTCATGTCTTATTGTCATCACAGATGATAACAACAAAAGAATCGTAAATCACAGAGAATGAATGTTATCAACAAATTACATTCATGGAAAATGGATATGATCACTCCTAATTTGTAGCTAGTCAGCAAAGAAACTTCTTGCAACAAAGAACAAGCTACTACTACTAGCTAGTACTAGCAATATTCACAGATTATGCATTTGAAGCTAATTGTCGTCACAAATGATAACAAGATGTTCACAGAAAATGAATGTCAACAACAATTGATAATCTCGCTCATTCACAGAAAATGAATTTGAATACTTGATATTGTTGTATTATCAGTACCACCATACCGTACACCATACGGTACTCCTACTACAGATCAAGCAGGCCAATGTTAACTAAACAGAACCATTAGGTTTAAAAAGAGTTGTGGGTTATTTTGTGGGTTCGTGGGTTATTTCATGTTTTTTTTTTTCAAACATAACCCACATTTTGAATCGTGGTGTTTTTTTTTCCAAAAAATAACCCACGAATGTTAAGGGGTAGATATGGAAAGGGGGGGGGGTGAATGTGATGTGCACGCTCCATGAGCTTMGGAAACAAAAAATATGCACAGAGGCCAGAGGAAAGTTCAAAAACAGCGCGCACGTTGCGTGGGTTCCGGAGGGCCCAGAACTTTCCGTTGGTGCGAAACCAATGGAATTCAAAACAATCTTTGGCAGTACTTGGTACCTACCGTAATCTTTGGAAGTACCTGGTACCTACCGTAAGTTTTCGGCAGCGACTGGTTGGTGAAGAACAATTTTACTGTGAAGAGCTCCGAACTCAATCCCCGCTTCTCTAGAGAACTTCCGAAAGCAAAATAATTCCATTCAAATTCTCCATTCCACAAACACGAAGCGCTGCAACGCAAAGRCACAACCCACTGTTGRGATTCGTGAAAATAGTGCAAATAAATAATAGAACACAACACAAGGATGACTCTATTGTTCGACGCGACGAGTGCCTATCTAGGGCCTCTCTTAGAAAAACATGCGGCCGGACAGCCATTGGTCTGGGAAGACTTGGTGGCTGCCCAGGCCGCCTGTTCTGCCATTTTGCGTCAATCCAACAACGAGTTCGTTTCGGTAAGCTTATCATTGAAGAAAACAAGATAAMYAATTTATAKCACCGAAGAGATCAAAAGCAATCGAAAATGATTACCGAAACGAGTAAAGGAAGGAGAAGAGAATGGAAATGATTGGTCGGGGGAACTCAATTGAATGAATCCTTAMCAACTAGTKTGAGAAAAATGGAACATCSTCTTTGAACGACAAAATTTATGGATCAGACCCGGAGACTGCAAATCAAGCTGGTAGGGTAGACTTGGTCCATGATTCGACTCTGTCACTCAATCAATCGGACAACGAGTAACATGAAAAGCGCTTGCGTTTTCTTGTGAAAGTGATCGAGACAAAAACCAACGAGGTAAGAATCTGGTGACCGTATACTATGACAATGCTTCTTCTTATTTCTGTTCAGTTGAGAAACGCATTTATTCATCGTTTTCTTGTTTCCGACACGTTTTCGATGTAGGAGCAGCACCTTGTTGGCAATGAATGAATAATATCATTGATAATACCATACTCGGATCGCCGAAGCTGACTGTCTCAATTGAAAAGATTGTGATCGAGGAGTTCCACAAAATAGATTCATCAATTTGAGTATTTCCGTCGACATTCGTGAAAAATCACCAACCATGTGCGCTTGAAAGACGTTTGGCATCGAAGCACTGCTGTGCTTCACACAGTATGTGCTTGTGATTGATCGAATCATTTCCACTGGCAAGCCAGCGTAGCTTGAGGTATCAAAACTTCTACCCTTGCAACGCTTTCTTACACGWTGAGGAGTATCGATCGCTTTCTTGAAATCAAACGATACAAGACATTTCCAATCCCAGACTCATTCCCACCAACATCCTTTCCAACTCATGGATCACTCGATCATCAAGCAAAATATCATCGGTGTAAGTATTCAATCTGCTAACAATTTTTACCATCTCTTGTTGTGTTTGTTTCGTGTGCTGCCACATTGTCGGAAATGATGAATAAYGTTATTTGAAACTATGGTGTATTTTTATTCCTACGCAACACYATCTTGGGTGAYTCTCGTAAATGAATATTATGCAATCCAATAATCAGAGTCGATTGAACCGATTGCATCAATCGCAAATCAATGCCTATCGAAAGGCAGCAAATCAGGCCATTAAAGATTGGGCTTTGTCGGTCCCCCTTCAACCGATGGAAGAGACAGACACAAAAACAGTATTCGTTGAGCGATGCATCGCGGCGATTAGTACGGCGGCACCAGGAACGAATGCCCTGCCGAACTGGCATTTGTCAACTGCGAAAGCCACTGCAACTACGGAGATCCGGAGGCGTGCGACTGCAATTTACGAAAAATACCATCCCGTAGAAGAAGCCGATGAGGGGAAAAATAATGGCAGTGGAACTGCGAATGCCAGTGAAGCCATTGCTGTTGAAAATGGCGCAGAAACAGAAGATGGAGAAGCAACCAGCGATGGCATTTCGGATGACGATGGCCAAGCACAGACTTCAAAACCGGCTGCCGGCAAGTCRAATCAGCCTAATCGAAATAAAAAGGGCAGTGGACAAAAAATTATCGCCACCCGCAAAAAGGGCACAAACGCTAAGGGTGGACCTCGAGGCATCAGGGGCGGCCGTGGGATTCGACAGGGAGGGCGGGGTCGTGGAAACGGGAAATGAGGGATCTCGAAAGAGAACTAAACCATGCCAAACTTCAGCGTGCATTCCCTGCGATGACTGAGGGAGTCCCCGCTTGTGGAGTTCATTGTTTACAAAACTTGAGCTTGAATTATTTTACTCATTCCCTTCCGACAAAAGAAATTGATTCCCCGTGCAACACACCAAAATCTGGGAGAAAATGGAGAACAAATTACCTTTTCCCGGTGGCAAAATGAATGCMTATAGTGCTTCACGACTGATCGGTTCATATTTTCTGGGATCGATTTTCGTGTAGCCCCCATTCACAATGCGAGAAAATATTTTGCAATAACCATGAATAYGCTGAATCCTTTCAAGAGTCTGGTCTTTAGTCTTCCGTATGTGGTACGACACGTGTACTTGYAGAGAGTGATGCGTTATCATCATTATCTATTTTTTTAGATTGCTATGCCTCGTCCGGTTTYTTGCTGTGGTAGCTTGCTTGTTATTGCTTGGGGCACGAGGGGCTGGCCGCCTTCCATCCGTTCATTTGCAGGCTTGTCTCGATGCCATCCGCGTGCGCGATCCCGACCACGGCCACGATGCTTTCCAGCTCGTTCAGGCCGTTCAGACCGGTCGCCATGTAAACGTCCCGCTCGCTGACCAGGGCCTCGTACAAGAACGGAGCGACACGCTTGAGCTGTCCCATGATCAGCCGCACGTTCTCCTTGGTCTTCATCGTTTCGACAAAGGTCGAGAGCTCCTGCTTGAACTCCTCGTCGCTGAGGTCTCTCGCCCCGTCCGAGGACGACGAGCCGGCGATCCGTTCCGCCACCGCGGCGTCGACSGGTACCATTTTTTGCAGCGTCTGCTCGAGTTCCGAGTCCGGGCTCAAAAAGGCCTTGAGGTCCGTCTTGGCGAGSCCCTCCGTGACCCGCCGGAGGGTCACCTCGACGTCGCGGTCGCCCAGGACAATGTCAGCTCCGATTTTCTTTCCCTCCCGGACGGCCGTGACGAATTCTTCCCCCGAGTCAAAGCCCGCCGAATCGAGGCGGGAGTACAGCCCCTTGATTTGTTTGCCGACCGCGGCGGTGGCGGCTTTCATGACGGGGTTGTTCATCTCCTTCTTCGTCTTGGACGAGAGCGCCGTTGGGATCGGGGCACCGYTGTCGGCCTGGRTCAGGGACGACTCCAGCACCATGCTTCCGTCGCCGGGGGCGGCCGAGATCTGAGGAACGATGATCTTCGATTCCCGCTCGGGCGCCGGGGTGTCGGCGTCCCCCTTGAATTTCTGCGCGAGGGCTCCCGTCCCGGACACGCGCTTCGGGTCAAGCTCGATGAAGACGCCCTTCGGGGTGGTGTCCCTYACCAGCTGCCCCGCCAGGGCGGCGCTGGTACTGGAGATGTGAGCCGTTCCCAGGAGGTAGATGATGCGCCCACCCTTGGACCAGACCGAGACGGTCGCGTCGCAGACGGAGGCGGACGAAACGAGCTGCTCCGCATGAGAGGGGAGGATCGTCGTCGTCGAAACCCCCAGGGACGCGGCGACAAGCGCACCGGCGTTGCCCAGCCACCTCCGCCGGCTGCTGGCACCCTCGCTAAGGACGCCGCCTTCTTTTTCTCCGCGGTCGTCGGTGCGGTCCTCCAGCGACATGCGCCGGGAGGACGGGATTCGTGGCTGGGGTTGGAGTTGAAGTTGCCGCGTCGTTGTCCACGACCACGATTCCTCCTGGAGGAGGAAACACAGCAGCGCCGCGAACACAAGATGCAATCTGCACGGAATCATCGTCTGGTTTCAGCTGTGCTATTTGTCTTTYTGGGTTGTCTGGTGTGTTGCAATACGGTTCGTTACAGAAAGCTTCCCGCGTCGAGCAATGAAGCCTCGGTGTCAATTGGGTTTGAGGATCACCGAAACGGATTTCTTATCGGTTGGGATACAACACGAAGGTTTTCGTTCTCGTTTCGATAACATGTTTGGATTTTTCGTCTCCTACCGAAGAGATTCAGCACGATACCGGTAGAGCTGTTTTGAAAGCACGGCACGCGGCTTCGGGTACGAGTACGTACGTACGTACGTGCTCATATCTTCAAAAATACCGAAAAATAAAAGTACTCGTCTACCTTACCGTACGGTACGTACGTACAGTACCGGCCCGTACAGTAAATGCTATTGTATGCTTTCACCGCAATAACACGTGTAAACGAAGAACGACAMAGAAGATCAGGATACTAGAGTCACGTGAGTCGAGTAAAATTCAATTTGTGGCGCATGGCACCTAGWAAATTTTAGTACATCAACGCTACTCTTCTAGAAGTATGAATAATGAATAGTAGATGCCTTTGTTTCAAACCCAAGAACTTCACGATTCTTTGAAGTGACCGTGTGTTCTCTGTTCCCAATTCTTTCGCTGCGATTGGAATCGCGGTAGTGTGCTGTACGATCGAGGGTCTGCACCGCAAACTTTCTTCGTGACAGMTTTCAGGGCGTCGGTTTTGCCTGCCGCAGTTGTACGGCACGACTCTATTGGTGGTGCTTTAGGGATTGTTCTCCCACTGAAAGAACCCTCCGCTTTTCTTTTCGATGTTTTGCGTCATGAGAAAGGCTCCCAGGGCTCCAAAGTATCCCTCGTGCTCGAGAAAGAGCGCCTCCATTTCCCCCTTGCTCCAGTAATCAATGGCGTACGAAAGACGTCGCTGGGAAATCATGTTRTGCCGCAAAAAGCTCCCCACAAAATAGATCCGGGGCGTCTTGTGGAGCTTCGCGTTCAGATAGGCAACCTGACCAATGTTGTTGGTGACCAGCGACAACAGAGCCCGGGCCAGGTCTTCCTGGGTCAGCCCCTTTGCGGGGTCTTCCTTGGAGACCAGTTTGCCAAAGGACGAGGCAACAATGTCCGCGGTAAGGCCCAGTTTCTCCAGGGCGTCGCTGTCCTCTCCGTAGATATCGCCCACCATCATGTCTACCTTGGTTGGATCGCCCTTTTCGGCGAGTTTCATGGCATCCTCGAAGTTTTCGACGTCCGTCAACAGCCGCATGAGGCCCCAGAAGGTTCCTCCCCCGATGGTCGATCCGGAAACACGTTCGTGTTTCCTTGGACCGTCCACCCGCAACACCGAAACACCCGTGCCGATGGTAACCAGCATGTACGGATAGGCAGACGAGTAGGATATGGTATCTCTCTGCACTTTCCGCGTCCACCACTCCAGCTTTGGGTTTTTGCCGCCATCGGCGGTTTCGTTTTTCCCATCGCCCGTTGTTTCCGCCGTTCGATTTTGTTTCGGTCGAAATGTGTAACACTCCCCGACCACCGTGGATAATACAAATTGCATCCCCGCTACCAAGCTGTCCAGTTCGTCTTGTTTGATCATTCCAATCGCCAGKTCTCTTTCCCATTTGTCWGCAAATTTATGGGCTCCTCCGCCGGTGGCGCTGCGTCGGAAACATTGGAGGTAATAAGCATCAGTCGGTTTCGGTCGGAGATCTCCAGCATGGCACACGAGAACCGTGACACACGAACAAGAACAAAAAACACCAAAACTTCAGTGCTACTTACCCCATGTTGCGAATGTTCATGTGCAGCTTGTTGAATCGAATCAGATCCATGGCGTTTTTCATCTTGCGTGTTTCGAAGGATATGAAGTGGAATTCTCCTCCTAGTTCCCGGCAATAAAAACTTAGCTGGATGTCGCTGATAGAATCTTCGTTTGTGTCGAGCCTGCGAGCAAAGTCATAAAACCGATTGAGAGCTTCGACCTTTTCTTGGTCGTGCGCCGTCGTCATGTCGAGCATGGACAGAGATCTTTTTTTCAGATTCAATGATGGCGGGAGGCCACTACTAGAAGATTCTAAGGATGTCGTTTGTTTGAATACACWGTCGTTTTCGTCGTCGCTATCGTCTACCACATGCCGAAATTGTCGAACGTCGTCGGGAAGAGATTCTTGTCGAATCGCATAAAGGCTTTGCAAATCGTTTGTGGAACTTCTTTCTTTAGTTGCATGCTCCGGCATTATATTCGTTTCTTCTCCGTCTTCTTCAACGAACAGAGAACTTTCTATTTTGGTGGGGTAGTTTTGGCTCTCCTTGATTTTCACCGGATGTGCTATATGTCCCGTCATAGTCTGGCTTCGACGCATGACACCCGGTATCTCGTTGCTAGGCGGTATCAGCATCCTTTTTTCAAAGCTATCTTCTTCCTTGAATTCGTATTCCTCGGCGGTGCTGCTCCTGAATCGATTTCCCAGAGGCGCTGGAATCTTTCTCATCGGTGACATGGATGCCGATCGCTTCGCACGGCCATCRGTATTGTCATCCATCCGAGCCATGAGAACTGTCTGCGCAGAAAGTGCCTTCGCATAATGCTTTTCTCTGAGGCTCCTGGTGTAAAGAGGATCCACATCGAGCGCCTTTTTCTCAAARTATACGAGTTTTGCTAGCGTTCCGCCGACGTCCAATCCAAAAATGCTGCCAATACAAAGCGGTTTTTCTTCTTTTTTGTTTTCCTGGTAACTAGCTTCTTCCTCAGATTCACCAGACATCAAATTTTTCATTCTTTTTTCCTCGCCTTGGTTTTCTGTTGTTTGGGAATCTCTCTCTTCTTCGGTTTTTCCTTCGTCTCTGTCGCTTTCTTCTCCCATCACCTTCCGCCGGATTGTTTCCCAAGGCCAATGCTCTCTCTTCAGACGCTTCGGAAGCTCTCCAATGTTCTTTTGGATATCTACCATGGTAGATATTGACGTTCTCATCATTCGTCGCTGCTGCGTGGAGACGTAGGCCAACGGATCATTCCATGGGTCGATGAAAGTAAGATCGTCGTCGTCGTCGTCGTCGTCATCATCTATACTGCCGTCGCTCCTTGTTCTATCTTTCGTGAAGTGGTCGGGGACTGTGTGATATAGTCCGTCTAAAAGCCACAATAGACCTACCGTGAAAGCTCCGGTAAGAAACGACGTCAGCTGGTCGTCGCTGAAATATGGAGAAAACAAAACCCGAAAAGGATAGAACAAGACATGTTGAATCATCTTTCACTTCACGATTTTTCCTCCCSGAAAAATTGTTTATTGTTCCGAGGTTTCTATGTGTTTTCCGACCGATTGCACTCAGTTCCTTCTCTCTATCGCATTGTCACCGGCCGTGTTTTTGTTTTTTYGTGGTCAATAAATATCGTTGGATGAAAAKAAATACTTTTAGGTGATAAAAAGTAAAAGTGCTTCTAACGAGGAATGCAGATGCGACCGATTGGGACTTGAATCGGTATGAGCTAGTATGTTGTTAATGAACGAAGTGGTGGTGAACRATATGTCTTTGAACGTGGTGGTTCGAAGGGTACGAGTACTTGCTCAAACGGAAAGCTTTCCTCCCACAGTTTCTTTTGAGATAGATTCGGTACAGTGATTATTAATTATTAATTGCCGGGTTCATCAATTTTTGTTGAACTTYAGTGATGTGAGAAAAGAAAACAGAGAAGGTGCAGAAGCTTCCCCCCCTCCCCCTACTGATACACGAAAMAAACAAGGCTGACGATCTCTGAAGGCGATGTGCGCGACCTGTTTCCTTTGGGTAGGAATTAACGCAACATCACGCCGAACAAAGACTACAGCTATTTTAATGGAACGAATCTCAATCCCTAATAATTAGTGATTGTAAAAATGGAGAGCCCAGACGTTTCGAGTTAACGGATTGGCTTCGRGGGGAAAGTACGGTACCTACGTACCCTTCACACCACCAGACATAATTTTCAGACTCTGTTCTTCTTTCTTCTTTTGTTCTACTGAACCATCATTAGATTTTTCCATAAGTTTTAAACCCCCCCAAGTACTACTAGTAGTTGCACATGTGTGCCAGCGGCAGAGATCATGCACCACCACACCACCATCCCAAAAAATCTGGAAGACAAGAATGAGGACCACCACCACMACAACAAGAACAACAMCAGCACAAAACACAAACACACCAGCAGCACCAGCAGCACCAGCAAATGCACCACCACCCCTCTCCAACAACCACTGGCAGTTCAGTTTTTACTAAAACTAAGATGATCAGTCAATCAACATCTACTACTTTGCATAATTCTTCATCACCTTGTCCCCCATAATTAAGACTGAGTGTATTACCACTGGGGTTCCCCCCCAGAGAATTACAGGGGAGTACTACTCTACTCTACTAGTAGTATCTTTCTATCTCTGATTTCATCGTTATCCGTAATGATACTTGATGATACTCCCTTCGTAAGGCTAAATGGAGCTTGCAACGGGGTCCTAATTATAGCAAATGATATGGTATCAGTCTATCATCAATGTTGCATAATGAAACTCATGATGTATCTATGATACAATRCTGCCATATGTACKAGCTTAAACCCAAATTCGTATTTCTGTGCAGCTAAGAGATCCGTTATGCATGGTCGAAAGCTGAAATTGCTCTTTTCCCCATCAATTTTTACCAGAATGTTAGCTGAATTTTTCGTCACGGCACCTCTGGAAAAAGTCAATATTCTTCATGTCATGCTCATATCACTCATAAAACTATGTCGTTGCCGTCTACGAAAASAAAACGACAGAGTCTTTCTGTAAGTACTATTCCTTCTTCAACAATTGCAGTGAGTTTCAAACTACAACAATTAGCATGAGCTACTTACAATAATCAATGATTGTGTCCTCCAAAAGATTCAGTTCTGGGGGTGGAATTCCAGTCAACCGATTCGAATCTGATTTGAGGGGACGAATAATAATTACGAAAGTAATATTAGTATTTGTGTCATAACTTGCTCGTATCGACCCTTGAACTAGTGCCCCAAAAACACAGCGCTACTTACTTAGGTCCAGGATCGATAGGTTAGATAAGAGCCCAAGCTCCCTTGGAATCGATCCAGAAAATTCGTTGTAGCCGAGAGAGAGACTTGACAAAAGTATTAGGTTCCCTAAYTCTGATGGTATCGGCCCAGTTAGTTGAACATTCTGTAAGTCCAGATGCAACAAAGATATCAGTTTTCCAATATTAGTAGACAGTGTCCCCCCTAAATCGTTCGATGATAGTGCGAAACTTTCAAGACCAACCATGGAATATAGTTCCTCAGGAATCTGGCCGTTCAAATAATTTGCACGCAGATCAAGAATTTCTAGATTTGTGAGCGAACCGAATTCGGAAGGAATGGGTCCGGTCAGAAAATTTGCGTGCAAATAAAGATTTCTTAGATTGTCCAATATTCCTATCTGCGTTGGAATCTCGTCTTCCAAACTGTTGGTGTCTAGAGAGATCAAAATAAGGTTYGGAAGTAAGGAAAGACTCGTTGGAATACGACCAACCAACCCGTTATTGTCTTAAAGCACCGTCAATGTTATGGGATTTTTTGAAAAAGAAAGCTAATGAGTAATCCGTCGGAAGTCTAGTCACATCCTCGCCAATTCTGGTTACCAAATAGTATATGGAGATACTTACCAAGCATCAAGTCTGTCACAAGCTTATCTTTAGAGCAGGCGACGCCATACCAACTACATGCATGAAACTCAGAAAGCCACTGATTGTTATTGGACCAAGTATCACCGGTTGTTGAATAATATACATCCACTAGGGCTAATCTCTCGATAATCTCTTGATTTGTGAGAGTCGACAAGTCGATTGTGTCCTCACCTGACATCCATTGTAGGGCTAAACTTTGAGATTGAGAGAGCTCCGTCACATTGCYATCGTTATCTAATACATCGATGAGATAGTCGAATCGGGACATCGACTTTTGGAATGATAGGCTCAGCCAATCAATATTGAGTCCGTTTGAGTTGTTCGATTCGGTTGATACTCGTATTACATGTTTCCCTTCACTCAACAAAATGTCATTGACACCTTGAACCATCCATGTTGATTCGTTTCCAGTTGGTATTAGATCAAAAATACCTTCTTTCAAGTCGTTGATTTGAAGGTCCAGATATTTCCCAGTTTTGTCCGCATTGTTGTATCGAATAGCAACTCGATAGTATCCGGTTACAYTCACACTAAAAGGTAAAAATTCSAAGCCTGACCCGGATGTTGCTAAATTTGTTACGTAGCCTTCTCCACAGTATCCATTGTTTTCGTTTCCAATAGTAGTATTTCCAAAATGTTCTGGTGCGTATTCAGCCTCCTGTATTTGCACTCCTGATTTTCTTTCTGGCTGCTGGCAGGAAACTGAAGAAGTACCRTAAATTGTTGTTGGCGCTGAAGTGGGTGCAGAAATTGGAGGCTGTGATGGTCTTGAGAACGTGAGATCTTCTGGCTGCGACTTACTGGTCGGTTCAGATGATGGARACAAAATTGGATTCTCGCTATTTGTTCCTTTGGGCGAAACAAAATATACCACCATCACCGTCAGCGCTGTGACAAATAGMAAAAATATCAAGCCAGCAAAAMCCAAGTTCCGAAAATTTCCAAAAAATGGAACACGTTTTCTTGCTCTTCTGTTTTCTTCTTCGGCAGTCGAAGTACATGCTGTTGAGTCAACGGATGCAACGGACTGTTGCGTGTCCGCTAGACCRGCCTCAACATCGAAGTCAATTGTCGCCGGTGTCGCGTCGACAACTCCATTGTCTGTGGCCTGCTCTACAACATTCTCGTTTCTTGGAACGATACCTCTTTCATTATTCGAAGCACCTGAAGCATGATCCATAGTCTGAGAAGAGGCAAGGCTTTGATCTGCTACAGGCAATACTCCATCGGCCCTATTGATGTCATTGAGACGCGTAATATCTTGCTCTTCGTTACCCTCATTTTCTGYGTCTTGAATATTTCCAGTTTCACTATTWGTATCGATTGTTTCATCAAARCTGTCTTCGTATTTCTCACTTTCGCCTTCCTCATCACTGCACTTCATATTTGGTTTGTAACTTTGGTTCTCATTTTCAACCTCGCTTTSATCGTCAATGTCCTCCCCCTCGAAATCCGAACCTTCCGAGATAGTAGCAAGTTCAATTTTTGYGTCTTTTCCTTTTTTAATGAACTCTTGTTTCACTACCCTATGGCGTCCCTTTATTTTTCGACGTTTGCGAACGACTTTTCCTGTGGCATCGACGGTCACGATAGAAGCAGTTTCGTCGGTTTTCGTTGTCGTCTTTTTCTTCCGTCTMTTTTTCTTCGTAGTCCCAGATCTCCTTGCTGCACCTTGGATATTTTCAACTTTCTCTCTCACCACTTCGGCATCTMTGTTTCTTATTGACTCTGAAACTGTATCATCAGTAGATCCATTTTCGCTTTTTCGTCTTCTTCTCTTCTTCCCATGTTTCGTTGTTTTCTTCCTAGCGCTATCATCGGTGCCTTCATTTTTCAAAGAAACCTTAGACACTAATTCGTTGTCAACTGCAATCGACGTGGCCCCTTCATCCTGCTTTGGACCATAACATATTTCCAATATCCGTTTTGTATCTCGGGCGATTTCGTGCGCCGGTCGATTCGGTAGAACTCTTTTGTCGGTGAAAGAGGATCGACTGTGACTACCAATCTCGCCATCTTGGCTCCCGTTCCTGCCAATCTTTCCGTTGCTATTAGGAMTGCGTTCGTGAGTCGACAGTGGCTTTTTCCTCGATTTCTTTTCGTCCATTGYTTCTTGCGTTGTTTCGGAAGGAATCGATGACAATAAAGAAGATTGTTTTGGTGCCTCTTCCGCTCGTGTCGCGGTCGCAACCACGGACTTCGACGCCATTGAGTTCTGCGTACGACCTTTAATCTGGGYAGGGAAGTCAATTTGGATGAACTATTTCTTTGATGGTGCTTTTTATTGGCAGAGGAGAGAGTTGTGTCCTCTCACTTCCATCGCAAGTTGATTTTTTTGCACGATTTAGCGCCTCGGCATGAAACGAACCAATTAAGAGACATTGCGTAGTACTCGTACCTTTCGGTCACAAATCCAACGGTTCGTTTTTTCCATGTTCACAATGATTTTTTTGGTTTTTTGTTCACCTCTGTCTCTCTGTTCCTGCATTTTTGTATGTGGGTTCTTCTTCGCGGTTTTTTGGGGCTGTGATCTCGAATCGTGACTGCCCTGGTTTAGTTCAATCTGAACTCTCAACCGAAGGTACGAACTCGTACCATTGTAGAAGGTACGTAAGTACCGTCTAGTACGTACGGTTACAGTCAAGTGTCAAGTGTCAAGTCTCAAGTCTCAAAAGAGAGCTCAAAAAGTACGCCTACGACTAGGAAGGTACGATACAGTAAAGTACATACCAGGTATGGGTACTCGTAATACCATAACCCACTACATAGTAAAGCATGAAGGATGAAGGAGCACGACTAAAGAAGAATTCTGATCGCACACAGTTACAGTAGAATGTACGGTACATGCGTACGTACTCCTAATCCGTCACAGTAATGATGTACCACTAGATGAAATCATTACGAGTACTAGGATTGAACCTAGACTAAATAATACGTAGTATTGAATAGTCATGTACAGTAGTAAATATCATTAAGCATAAGCCAGAATAACGATTTCCGATAAAATAGAGGGAGTTTTCATGATGTTATCATCCACTGTTACCTTCTCTGCATCCATCCCTGAAGAGAGTTCCAGCGACGTCTCACCGACAAGGGCTTTGAAACAACTGGATTCCTMTCCTCGAAATTGTCCGCTGCATCGTATTTTCTAGCGGCGTAGCTTTCCGTTCTTGTTCTGTCTACAATTGCCTCTATTTCTTCAATCATACATTCGACCGATGAGCATTTTTTATCGAGATCGGGTGCTACTGATTGCTCCATCTTAGTCATGTGATATTCTATACCCTTGATCATATCTGGAATATTATCGGGAACATCTCGTGCTGGCTGGGCYSAGGTGGGCRTTTGTGGAGATTGAATAGTCGAATCACGTTCATTATCGGAGCTGATCAAATTCCCYTCATCTAGAATTTCAGGATTACCAGAATCTTTCTGGTCGTGTACATCTGTTTCATCGTGTCCCCGAACCGAGTTTCGTTCTTTATMGCTATCTGGYGTAGCTTCTTCGATGATAGAGTGCTGAGAATCTAGTGTTTCAGCTGAGACTACGAGTAGGTTTTCACCATCGGTACCATCCTCTTCATCTTTAGAGTCGTGTGCGCCCAACTCAGCCGGCTTTTGAATTGGGCTTTCGACAGCGATTTCTTTGATGTCAGCGTCCGACACATCCGATGGTGGAATTGATTGCGATGAMGATGCTTCCAAATCTTCACCAATTTCGTCGCCGGTGCCGTGGTCCTCAGAAGACACGGTTTGAATATCACTGTCCGCATCTTTTGCCTCGCCACCTTTTTCTTTGTTTTCCGAGGGGAACGTTCCCATTGGAATGCTATTGTGCAGCTCGCTGGGTATTCTTTCATCACCTTGCGATGATTCATCGGCGAGAGAGTCATCAGGAGTAGATTCGTCAGTGGTCAATTCGGGATTCTCAGAGGCTRTCGATGCTTCGTCAAGTATATCGGTGCCTTCCGGTTGATCATCGTGTTCCTCTCCAGCTTGTTCTTTTGTAGTTGTTTTGCCGAGTGATTCTTTGACGTCGGACTTGATCGAATGCTCCTCTCCCGAAGACAAGCCGTCGCTATCTCCATCTAMTGCTTTTTTTGGTACAAGCATGTCCTGGTCGCTGTCGTTTGGGTTTTGAAGATYCACTTYATCGTATACCAGAGGTTTTTYCTYGTTGATGATGTCGTATTCCTCCGCAGGTATAGATATCTTTGGGTCTTTCTCTTGCTCAATCGTTTCATCGAGCTCTACGCCGATGACACCCTCGTCGAAATCCATCGGATTCGATTCCGTCGTTGTGTTGTATTCCTCTATTTCTGTTCGCAAGGATTGCTCCGTGTCAACAGAGTCAGTTGWGGCAGTCTCGGCAGGCACATCTGGCTCTTGGTCTGCGATGTTCAAGTTGACGGTTTCGTCTGAATTTTTGTCATTGGTTTCGCTTCCCTCAATATTCATATCTGGTTCTAGTGTTGCGTGAAATTCTGCATCGAYAACACCCAYATCAGAAAGCGAAGGCTTTGATTCCATCTTTGGGATGGAACCCTCCATTTCTGTCARTAGGGAGTTATCAGTSCCACTCGACGAGTCGGCTATGGTAGGGTCTGCAGGGAGCTTGGGTTCTTSGTCAGACTCAATCAAGTCGGCAGCCTCGTCTGCGTGTTTGCCGATAGTTTCGTCTTCAGTGGTGGTTGCGTCCGAGTCATCCTCTGGTTCCAACGTGTCGTCGAGCTCTGCATCGACAACATCCACATCAGAAATCGACGGGTTCGATTCCGTCGTTGGGCTGGACTCTTCTCTTTCTCCTTCTTCTTCTTCTTCTTCTATAGATGAAGGGTCGTTCGTTTCTATAGGGTTGTCTTGGACAGTATCAACGAGGAGTTCGGATTCCTCGTCGGAGCCTGATGGATCGCGGTCGACGATTTGAACCTCTTCTTCTTCGGCGCCTCGTTCGTCCGTGTCGAGGCCCGTCTCGGCTTGGTCGAGCTCGTCTGTTTCCCGCTCTGGCGTGGAATCGGCGCCGGYCGTCGCGCATTCATCCGAGGAAGCTCCAGACGCGGTCGCTTCGTCGACACCCGCGATGTCCGAGGAAAGCAGTGGTCGCAACTGCAAATAATCGCTCAACGGATTGTTTTGRTAGTACTCAGCGAGCCGGTCCAGGATCTCTGCCCGCATCGCATCCACGATAGTCATGTTCGTTTCGCCTACGGCGTCCGCTAGCTTTTGTTCGAGCCGTTCGACGTATTGGTGCAATCCACTCTCGTGGTAGAACCTGGCTATAGTATCACCTATCTCGTTCAGTTTGTTGTAGATGTCGTCTTCGTCAAAGACCCTCATATTCCGGATGCGTTTCGTGAGGTCGGACGTCCATATTTTGTGGACGTGTTCGAGGTTTGCCTCTCCTCGAACAAGCTCCAGGGTCTTCGGAATGTACTGCGTAAAATACTCTTTGGATATCACATTGATCCCCATCTGTTCCCACGTGCTGTTGCCGCTAAAATATTTTAGAAAGAGYTCCAGRGCRACCGTTACGTTTCGAATATCTACGAGTTCGGAGTAATACTTCGTGATGCCGTTGAGGGATAGCTCGGGCTCGTTGAATTGCTCTGATTGAATGGTTTCGTGGTGTTCATAGATTTTTTCTAGCACCTTATTTTTCTGATGACCTAGAGTCTCCAGGATCTCCCCCACTGCCTCTCGTAGATACAACTGGGTTCGATCGTAAGTCAATCGAAGAATCTCCTCTGCGTCGTCGTACATAGTGTCGAGCCAACTATTGGGTTCCTTGGCATGGTCGTTGGTTTCTTCTGTTGTTCGCCGAGTTTTTGGCGGCAGCGATGCCTCACGAATGGTGCTGTCGACGTCATTGGTGACAGAAGCAGGGTGTATGGYCGACCTTTCCTGGAGATGGGTTGTGCGACGATACTTCCGTATGCGGTCTAAGACTTCGTTGATRTTGAGACCTTCTGTATCGGTCGTTTGCATACATAGAATCGTAGTTCCCAATGCCAGAAAAACGAGGGCTGCGATAGACAACAAAGTGCGGGTCCAGACGTGCAAATGATCACGAGGATGCCGCTGTTCTGGAATCGGATCAATTTCCAAGTTGGTGYTGCTGKTGTTGCTAATGATGCTGTTGTCGCATGATTCTTCGAAGATTGGTGTTGTTTCSTCCACGAGCGGTTCGTCGTTTTYTTCGTTGGGGAACAACACTTTTTTGGCMCTGTCCATGCTATCGASAGAATCCTTCTCTTCGGAAGGTGTCGCTGTCGCTCCATTCCCGTCTACCAGCGGAGGAGGATTGTTGCTGTCGTCATTCTTGCWGGTGCTACTTGCGACAACGGTGGTGGCTCCATCGGTAGCACTAGGACTAGACGGTCGTACGGGCGGACTCCAAGTCGGATCGTGGGTGGGGCGATGCTGATCCTGATGCTGATCCTGATGCCGATCCTGATGCCGATCCTGATGCCGATCCTGATCGTGAAGATAATGCTGGTACTGCTCGTGAAGATACAAGTCGTATTGATTGTCTTCCTCCTCCTCGCCGCTTCCGTCGGCATTGTTTTTGCGCGGGTCGCAGATTCCACCCATGAGTTTGCGCAGGCTTTTCACCGTCGATTTGATTGCTTCGTCGCCACCTGCCACGCGAATGGTCGCTTCGGGCGACCTCGGTGGTCCCTCTGGTTCGGAACCCAAAGCCATCGTCTCGACGCGATTTCGAGTTGCTTCGATCGAGACAGCCTGCTTCTATTCTTTGGAGCCAGTGGTCACTCTTGCTTTCCGCCCGTTTCTGTCTTGGCTTCGATAGAATTAAGATCTYGGTTGTCTATCCGTTGATCCCTCCGCAATTGCCAGCGTTCTTGAGCTCTCTAAGAAGAGCCTCTTCAGTGGAATAMATGCACATGTATCGAATCCTTTGAAATGCATTACTATTAATTATTGAGGAAGGACACGTACTCGTACCCGTACTCGTTTGGATCGCATCATCWGTACGGTATCTACGAGAGACCAAGTTCGTGCACTCGTGCGCATTTGTAGAGTTCTTCCTCAGACAAAGAACTTCCAACTCCTCCGTTTTTCGATCTGTGAAGTCGTGAGAATTCAAATGTGGCCAATAACATGTTGAGAAAAACCGGCGGAAGATCTAGCTTCACAGGAATTTTGAAGTAGGAAAAAGACCTTCCAAACTACGGACGATTCCATGATTCCCGGAGGCTCCAGATCGGATTCGTGCATTCGCGGTTACTGCAGCTACTAGTACTGCCTACTACAGCACACAGCAGTTCCTTACAAAAGTGCCGTGGTAGGGTGGTACGGTACGTACTGTACATAGTAATGGGTGATCCCCGTTAATAGAAGTGCTAAATTTGATAGTGCTAAATTTGATAGACAGACAAACCAAAAATCTATCACATGTTGTCATAGATTTAGTATTTTTTGAATGGATCAACTGACCCCATTCTAAATGTGCTAGATCTATTATGGAACCCAAGAATCAAAATTCTGAGTCCATTGCAAGAAGATTGTTCAACAGAAAGCAAGCCAGAATCTTACACTACTACTTGACAAAGGAACAAAGAGAGACACCTCTAACAATTATGGTGCGACATAAATTATGTCCCAGTCTGTGCTCTTAGTCAGTACACTCTATTTCCTTTATTTGTTGCAGCAAAGAGAGCAACGTCCGAGAGATGCTTCTTAGGGTATAATTTTTGTTTGTCGCGACCATAATTTGTGCGTGTTTTTAACATGCGCAGCAAAAACTACACCCTGTTATTCCTTTGCGATCGCGCCCCCACTGTTGACCACTTTAACGGACAGTACCATTTTTATTTTTCTTCGTGACAACAAGAATACGAGGCAGGAGGAGGAGCAGGAGACTGGCGACCTCAAAGAGGGAGCTCATTGCCAATGAACCGGCCTCAAGAAACAACAACAAGGAGAAAAGGTTCTTTGTCCCATCCCCYACACTATATTTGTTAACATGGGTCCAACTGGCAATACCAGCTGCAGGAGTGGTACTGTAAACTACTCTTGAGAGGAGCTCATCAGTCTAATGAGGAGCTTGATATTGGACATGCTCCCTATAGATGCTGAGGGCTGGGACGCGCTTGTGGTAAAGCATGCAGAGAGATGGCCTATAGTAGGTAGGACCAAGGCATCCATCAAGACTAAGTATGCAGCTACAAAAAGGATTAAGAGCTCAACTGGAAATCCAAACATTCTTCCAGAGTATGTGAAGATGACACGAAGGGCCCATATCTTGATTGGTGAGAAGTCAAATCTTGGTACTGGCAAGGAGGACTTTGATATGAAGCAAGGTTTCATCAAGAGTGAGGCTGTGGAGTGTTCAGAGCCTCCAGTGTTATCTTCAGGGGCGACTGCAGGGGCTTTGATTATTCTTGCTGGAGACGCATCTACTGTTGATGATGGTGGAGAAGAAGAACAGGAGCAGGAGGAGTTTGGTGCTGTAGCTTCCTCCAGCAATCTGACCCCTTCTCTTGTTGAATCAACCCCAAGGAAGAGATCTTATCAGCAACAGAGGAAATCCAGTGTCCCCCGGCACCCCTGCATTCAAAGAATATATTAAGAGCCAGGAAAAGAGAGAGGAAAGAAGAGACAAAGAGAACCGTGAGATGTACAAACAGAATCATGAGATGTGGAAGGAAGTTATTGGAACTGCAATTTCCATGTTCAATGAGTGGCAACAACAACAACAATCTTACAATGGACCTCCTCCCCCCAACTATCACTATGGTCCTCCACCAGCGGCCCCTCCTGGTCCTCCACTGGCTCCACCAGCTCCTCCAGCTCCTCCAGCTACAGCATCGACCACCAGTTCACTGCTGAAACGCCAGTGCATGACCACATTAGCACAAAAAGAATCCCATGGTGACATGTACCAGGCAGAAGATGTTTCTTAAATCATTAATCTAATCTAAACTTACTAAGCTAACTAAACAAAACTGTACCTGCTGTAATTCCAAATAATGATCTTGAGCTTGCAGCCCAGTCCACTGTGTTACCATGTTATTGCACAGTGCACACTGTTCTAGTAGGGACTGTACAGCTGCTTGCTCTGGTTTTCTTGTAAAGGTTTTTTGTATACCAATGCAGGATTACAACTGTTTTACCTGTATCAGCACTTGCAAAGTTCTATGAAAACGGTTCAGATCAGCATACACATGTTGTGTATCATAAGCTTGTCTTCGTTACAGTATAATGCTTAACTTTTATTCAATACAGTATAAATTGTTATGTRCATGATCATTTGTGCATATTAACAAACGCAGCAGCTGGGTCACAAGGGTATACATGAAAACTTTTATGAAACAGTTTGCAGCTGGGCTAGCAGCAAGATCAACTCCTCCCCCCCCCTTCAATAGGTCATTATACCAACATGAGTACTGTTTGCAACCAAACAGATGACTGCTACTAATTCAAACTAGGCTAAGGAAAGTAACCATTCTTGCATCTTCTCCATGGGAAAGTAACCACCATGGTTGTATTGATTGCCATATTGAAATGATTGTATTGAATCAATTGTATTCTTGAATCTGTATTGTTGTACAAATTCTACCTTTGCCATGTCGCCCTGCCAACTAAACTTCCTTCTTTTGAGACAACCACAGCAACCAATCGACCATGGGATTCACCCTCACCCTCACCCACAAAACACCTTGTTTCCATCAGGGGAGAGGCTGTGTCCTACATGGAAGTAAGCTGCTGCAAGTTCATTCCTCAACTCTTCATGAGGTACCTCCTCTAGATCTACTATTGCTGGTGGTTTCTTCATGAAGGTTGATAGAATCTGGTTGTGTCCAATGGTAGTACTGTACTGGAAGTTGTAGCACAAGTTGATGARAAGGTTCATTGTTATTCTTCTTTCTCCATGCTCCTCCAAGGAGCACATCCTGTCTTTGATTCTTGGGAACTGTCCCTGGATCATGCRCATTCCCCATTCCAACATCTGTCTCAAGGATGTCTCATCTCTGTTGAGGAGTATCATGTGTGGTTGTTCAGGGTCCCTCTGTGAGCTCTTGATGAGGCTATCCTTGTGGTATTCCTTCAGAGCAAATGCTGAATCCACCACAACCTTTGCATCATTGCACTCTTTATGGACCTTCACAATCCTTTGGTACACGCCATGCTCAGCAATGGCATTGTCATGCCAAGCCCCAGGACAGTTGTACACTGTTATCCTAATCCTTCCATCTAGGACAAAAGCAAACACACTGTTAACAAAAGGTGTTCTCCTTCCAGGCATTGTAGAATGATCTTTGTTTATACCAGTCTTTTGAGGCTTCAATCACTTGCTTCAGTCCATCCGCAGCACCCCAAACAGGTTGTTCTCCAAGCCTTGGATACTTGTCTCCAATTGCCTTAACATATTTATCAACTTCTTCCTCAGTTGGGACACAGATCATGGCGTTTGGGTGGTTGTGAAGGGCAACAAGCTTCACTCTCCTTGAAAACTTGAGCCACTTCTTGTACATCACTGTGGATGTCACCAAGCTAAATGCCATGCCCATTGACCTTGCAACAGAGGATCCTCTTGTCCTGGTGAACCAATAAAGGACCAGTCCAATGGCACAGACTGCATCAACCTCTCCTCTCTTCTTCCCCTTGGGCTTGCCACTGGGATAACATGGAACTTCCACAATTTCATTGTTGTTGTTTACAGTGAACTTGCTGTATACTGGAGCAAACAGGTCAACAAGAAGCGCTCTGTAGACTTTGTGGTCTACACCACAGCAGTTGAGGAGTGCTTGATCAAGGCCTGAATGGAACATATGGAGGAAGGGGGAATCAGCATATCTCCTGGTGATTGCAAGCCTTCTTGGGGTTCTCCTGTCCCTCTGGTGTCTCTCTTCTGGAGATACTTTGCTTATAACTTGTTTGCTTGTTGTCCGTGTTCATCTGGATGTCTACCAGCAGTACTACATGATCATTGTGATGACTTCCACTACTCCCATGGTGGCTGTGTTTGTTGCCAGATGGGAACACTGGTCTTTTACTAGTAGTGTGGCTAGCAATGCTTTGTTTGTTGACTCATTAGCTACTACTACTAGTGTGGTGTGTGAGGAATGTGCATATTTTTTGATATGGAATTATGAGAGAGAAGTCTAGAGAATATGTGTGTTCCTCTTAATTTCAAGCAAAATTCCCTTTTCCAAATTAAGCACATGTAGCGAGACATATTGAATGACACTAATCTATCTACTATGTACAGTAGTCACATTTTTATTCCCTTTGAGTCATATTGYATGTCGTCATAGATTCTATGATTATGGGAATGACCCAATATATGCAAGACCCAAATAATTGTTTTGGGAAGGTAGCGCGCTACCAAATTGAGGAATGTGGATACTAGAATCTRCATMTGGTAGGCCCGGTAAAGGAATGGTCCCATGTCATTCAACCTGATGGTTTGCTGTCTACAATCACTAAAAGGTTTCCATTCTCCGAAGGACACAGAATGCCTCTGTTCCTGTTCCAAGAAAAGCGACGAACTCTTGGCGTCAAAGGACCGAACGAACGATACAAGAGCGACACCTGCCAAATCATGCCCCTCCGAAGGGAAAAAAGAAGTCAAACCTTTCAGATCGATTCTTCTGRGACACCGTTCGGGTCCATAAGCAATCCTCGGAGATTGGAAGAAATCTCGAGTGCCACCTGGGTTATCACCCGTAGAGTTCTCAAGTCGGCTTGGCTGTGGAAGGTCACGCTGGTTCCGCTGTTTCTTTGGTTCCTGTTCCGCGYATATTCTGCCGTTCTCGGCGTCTCCGATCCTTTCGATCAACCCTTTTGTGATGCCAGCGGGACCTGCCATGAACGACCAGACGTCGCATCCCCCCGAACAGTATACAGCGCATGGGACAAGAAACAATTCGATCTCTGGTGGAAATATTACGGAGAACTGATAGACCGGGTAGATGCATACGCGAAAAAACGCCAGAAACTGTACGAGAACAACAAGAAACTGAACCACGACCACAGAACCCGCCCGCTGATCTTGCTGGGCGATTCGATCACGGAGTCCTGGTCGGAAACGGGGCTGGGGATTCACAAACACCGCGCCGAGGGCGTCGCCTCCGTCCTGGAAACAGAGCTGTCCGCTTCGTTCGGACTGGATCCGATTGTTTTGGGTGAGGCCGGGGATCAGACGCAGCACCTTCTGTATCGTCTCGAAAACGGTCACATGAAGGCCGCCGAACTCTCGTCGTCGGACGACTCGGGCCAAACTTCGTTCTACGATCCATCGGCGATCTTCGTGGTGATGATTGGAACCAATAACCTGGGTTCGGGGGAGCTTCCTGGACCCACCACCAAGGGAATACTGGCCGTCGCGGAGTATYTGCTTCGTGAAACGGACGAAGCGGGGTGTAACGTGCTGCTCTTTGGACTCCTACCGCGCGGGGACGGCAGGAAGGTTTTGCCGAAACTCTGCCCTCCCCGGTGCAGTGACGAGGCGACCAACACCCCGTACTCATCATTTCTCCCACCGATCCGAAGCGTCAACGAGGCGCTCTCAACAGDGGTCGAAGCCCTCGCCAAGACCTACCCCGCCGCCGCCGAAGCCGCGTCGCCACGGATTCGCTTGGTCGATTGTGGCTCTGGGTTTCTCAACCCAAGCTACGACAACGAGACAGCATACGGGGTCGGTGGGAACTACGAAGTATTGCACGACCTTATGCCGGATTTGTTGCATCCTAGTGTCCAGGGACATCAAATCCTGGCAGAATGCATACGAGATTACATCGGTCAGATCGATGGGTAAAGAGATTGCTCTGTTTTCCAACAAAACACTACGAGATCCAAAAATATGGTGGAATTCCATGCGGAATATCCATGCATTGCTCCTCAATCAAATTTCCACATTGTCAGAAATGGTATCAGCAGGCGAAGAATCCATCGTTGCGGATGCACAACATACACCGAAGCGTATCGAAGTCCCTACAAATTGAAAAAACGGGTTGGAATGCTCAAGATAGCAGATTCCCTGTTGATCAAGGCAAGGTACAAGGAATGCGAAGAGGCAGGGAAAGCTGGCAAACAAGAATACATGGGCGTTTCATCGGTGCCCTTTTCTGCCCGCGTACTTTAATAGCATCGATTGACCGCGTGCATGATCGTAATGATAGCCATGCATTCCTTCTTCCATCARATTATTATGTGGCGGTCTATTGTCGACATTATATCGGGCGTCCACACTGGTTTTATTCGTATGAAGCTTACTACTGCGTTGSCGTAGTTATTTTCCAATCCTGCACGGTACTGAAATAAAAATTTAGTTGCCGAATAGCACAGAAGATTGATCGGATAGTTGCGCAATGATGGCTAGTCAGGCAGTCTTCGAATTAGAACTACAGCATCAAATTAGAGCGATTGCTTCTGTTCCTATAACTTTTTCCAAGTTTTTAGGTTCACACCGTTTCATCTACCGTAAAGTACGGTGTACCGTGCGGCCGTCCGTATCGTTTTTGTAGTTACGAGTACTCATGGTACTGTTACCTATACCTAGTTGTATCATATGATACGTACGTACTATACTATTTTGTCTCCCGTCGCAGTAGGAAAAATCCGCGCATGAATGAATCCAGTCGTTGACGACTTGCTCAAGGATCTTTCTTTAAATTGTTTGAATTTGAAATCCTGAGCCAATGAAAAAGCTGCAATCCATGCCACGTCTTCCAGATTTTGATTGGTGACTGATTTTTGACAACTTTTCGAACCGACTTCACTGATGTTTCGTGCAGGAAACTCCATCATCTGCATTCTTCGGCACAATTGAGTTTTTCGCTGTTTCTTCGCTTTTTCTCGTTTGGTGTCATTGACAACAAACAAACAGCACCATACCGGTAYTGCYTCGTCCGGGTGATGGCAATCGAGTCCTACCACCACAACACAAAACCCATACAGGACGAAGAGACACGAAAGCTGATGCTACCTGGTTCTACTCCAATCGCCATTATCCAATACCTTTGAACTGCTCCACAATATATTATAAGGATATCAATGCAATGATGAAGCGTCCTCTGGTAGCTAGATGTACTCCATTATTGGGCACTCCGATGCCACTACTTAATACTTCGATACTATTGTTCTTGATGRCAATCCTCGTTTGGGAACAACTGCCCGTGTTGAAAGTAAACCCGCTTGATTCGATGGTCGTCAACGCCCTGGCGACCACGAACAACAAGCAATTACGAATGCAAACCTCGTCTACCTCGCCGCCGGTCTCATCGCCAAGAATAGCTCCCCCGCCACGGCTGCCTCTGAAACCGCCCTTTCCCAACGGTCTTTGTGGTGGTACGATGGTGGACATTGTTCCAGAAGAAACCTTTGGCGTCGATGTCAATCTTGCCAATTTTAATTTTATGGGTGACATGGTCCTGTTGCCACGAACGATTCGGATATGGCTCCCACCAGGATACGATGAAAACGATAAGGATGGAGGACATCCCGTATTGTATGCTCACGATGGACAAAATGCTATGGAAGACGAAGAGAGTTGGACGGGGGCCTCGTGGAGATTAATTGGAGCCATCACTCGACTAGCTGATCACAAGCTGATCTGTACATCATCGAGCCCCGCTACGAATAGCACATCCAGCAGGAACAACGGAAACGAAAGCCGACAACCAACATCATCTTCCTGTACCAGTGACGGAAAGCTTCCCATCGTTGTGCTGTTACCCAGTGCCCAGGGTGATTGGCTGCCGGGAATTCGACGACGACATCTTGAATACGGAGACATGAATTTTCCCTTCGCGCAAGCCCACGCAGATTTTGTTGCCAATACGGTCAAGCCCTTGGTAGACAATCGGTTCAGGACCAACCCTTCCGCGGAGCGAACCTTTTGCATAGGATCGAGCCTGGGGGGTCAGGCATCCCTGCATTTACTGCTGAGACATCCCGACAAGTTTGGTGGCGCAGCCTGTTTGTCTCCAGCATTTGGGCCCGCGATACTGAATTTCGTCGATTCTTCCAAGGGAGGCAAAATACTACGAGAGGGGAAGAAGAAGGTTTACTTGGATATCGGGGGTGACATGGACGATTCTAAAAGCAGCGACTTTGTTCGCGTCTCGCCTATTGACGTATTAGACCATTTAACACCGGTCCATGGATGGAACCCTGGCTATTTCTGGTTGGACACCCAACTTCAAGGACAGGTAACGGCTATGCGGAAGGCCCTTGATCGATCCGGAGCTGATTACGAATATCGACAATATCCCGGAGGTCGGCATAACGAACGAGCCTGGGCCTTGCGGATTGATAAGCCTCTTTTGCATTTGTTTTCTGACAAACGTAGRAAGAAWGAATRACAAACTTCAAATTYAAAAAAACACTACGAATAGAATGGCTAAAAAGTTTTCATTTCWGTAGGRAATATGAATTCGTATCTAGTGTTTTAGTTCATGGCAACATATGTTGTGYTAGGGAATAGTTTCCCGAACAGTGTCAACGGTGCTAACGATTTATTCGTTCTTGGGTTGCTCTTTYTTCCAAGTCAATAACTTTTTCAGGTTTGATTTTGTTCGGTATCCAAACTGTACGCGGCTCACTGTCCGGGATCGGAGTTTCCTTATTTCATCGCATTCATTACTGCACACTCGAATTTGATTCATGGAGTAACCTGCATTAAGAAGTAGATCAACGCGTTGAGACTTCGGTTGCAACATCTCAATGCTCTTGCGAGGCAGACACGGGCGAGAATCCTCGTATTCTTCCAAGGAATCCACCGTATAACAATTTTCTTCCCTCCATCCCAGTGATATTGACGGACCACTTCCRGGTACTCCCGATCCTCCCAGTTGAACGGCATGTTCATGTATGACAAGGGAACCAAATCGAACACGTTTCTTCCCTGAGGAACTGGTGCTAGTTGSAGTAGCTGTAGCTTCTACCGSTGAGGCCGGGGATTCAGGGCTTGAGGGACCTAGTGGTGCGCAAGGAGAGTGTGAGCAACTCGATGTTATATCTTGAGCGGCTTCATTTCTTCCGTAGAATGCTTGTTCGTCTTCACTGGGAGTGAAGCTACATGTTGAGTCGTCGGAATGTAACGTGGAGTCCAAAGTTGGGATAGTCGATGCTGAAATGCTGCGTGTCATTTTGTCCACACTAGAAGTGTCTGGTGTTTGATTAAGTACTGGTTTCATTAGTTTCATCATCTTCAACGTGGGAAAATGCTAGGGGATTGTAATGTTAGGACTTGTGAAGAAAGGGACAATGGAGGAAAATGGATGATACTGTAGCAGCAGCGTTGCTAATGTTTTTGGGAAAAAACGCCGAAAGAATTAGAACCGCAATCGGCTCAAGAGTAGGGTACGATTAGTCGCCGTTGTTCCGACACTTTGAGAAGAGTTTTTTTCTCGAATTCTGATGAGTTGGTGCGATGGAAGTTTGATTTTATGGAAGAACGTGAGARAAGAAGAATATACCTTCGGTACTGTTCCCGGTAACAAATTCTAAAAACATGTTAGATTTCCAATGAACATAAAGAATTGATGGAACCGAGAATAGAAAACTGACCATTACAATTTTCATAATAGCTCACTCAGTTTCACAGTACATTACTTAAYATACTGAGTTTTCTGTATCTCAAACACTGTGAATCAAAAACTGTTTGTAAACATAGGCTGCTTCCGATATTTATCGAAATATCACTTTCCAAAAATAGTTCTGGTTATYGAAAGGAGCTACTTATCAATCGCATCCCKTATGGAATCGGAGACCTCAAGGACAGTTGAAGATATTCCTAAATTTCAATGAGAGCTAGAGGACTTGGACGGTTGGACAGGGTAGCTTTAGAAATCATACTTAAGAGTCCGATACTTTAAGTTCAATCGGACACGAAGCACTCCTTCATTTCACGTTCATTATACTTGATTTCACGTTTACAGCATTGGCGAGGGTTGCTGTTTGTTACGTTCCCTTCCTCAACTTCAATGAGAATTCCATGTCCAACTTCTAGGAAGTTAATCGTTTTCATTCCAGTGCTWRRAGAAAATTCGGGAGTTATAAATAAGCCTCCKAATTTTTATTTAACATAGAATGATATTTGTTGTCTCGGTTTTCAGAACTTTCGAGAAAAATTGCATGAAACGGTATCGGCGGTCGATAAAGGTTTTCGGAACTTYAAGCAGAGGAGTCGTCCCYAGTACMGTTCTCAAAAGAAGGTTTGTCGATACGTGTTCCTTACCACCGATTGAGGTTCACATCAACGTGTTTGATGAAATGACTGGCTGACACGTATGATTCTACGATGGTGTCTCRTAAAAATTTGTACCAGRTAAGTCCTGATATTTCTGAGATCATGCTGACACTTTGATTTTCGATCATTGGGTGGTTTCCGTTCTTACTYTAAGTACGGCATGTAACGTACGACGGGAAAACACGAAGTAAAAGTACGGTACCGTACGTGTTGATTTACTACGCGTAAAAAAACATTTGAAAATTACATTAATTGAGGCATTGGGAACTTCATGGGTGATTCCCTTTATTCTAAATACACCGAAGTGCTAAATGTAGGGATCTACTAGGGTATTTAGAATAAAAGGAATCCAAATTTCAATGGACAGACTAAGAGGAAGCCTGCATTCATTCCAGTCGTTTTAGGAATTTGGAATCTTAACTACTATTCCAACGTACTAATGACTAAAAGAAAGAGGCATGCACACCACTTTTTGGTAGTTGTACTACTACTACTACTAGTACAAAGAACAAAAACATGAAATTTTCAATATGATGGTACTTCCTTCTTGCACCACTGGCTATCCATAGTGAAAGGAACACACACCATACTATTATCAATGCTTTCATAATTTTTCATCAAAAATATGTGGTGTGTTCCACTCAGGGGATGACCAACAAACACTACACCAAGTACAAGTGCAAAATAAGACTATTATTTTTAGCAGGTTATGACTATACAAAACTTGCCAGTTTTTAGGTATCAATGCTTGTTCCTTGTTGTTAATGTTAGCAAAAGCACCAATCAGAATTAGAGAATCTGTCAGTCAGAAAGGGTTTTCTTTTTTCTTCAGAAGCATGTGCTGCATCATATTGCTATGTGAATTTTGATGAGAACCACCAGTTCCGGCTTGTTGATTTCTCTGTGCACCAAAAATTTAAAAAAACTCATTAACACAACCTCCAGCATAGCAAGCTGTCACCTCTTTAGTTCTTCACCAATATCCAATCAATGGCACTCACAAGACAAGTGTTCTAATCCTTATATTAAGGGCGCAAGGATCAGGAAGTCTTGGATTGATCAACCAACCAGTAGATCTACTAAGCACCAGTGAAGAATCAGTCCTTGCTGTCCACCATTTCAGTGGATGCTGTATCAGCAGCTCCTTTGTTCTTCCAGGGACATCCACTGTATCAGGGAGCATCATCCTCCGCATCAGTGTGGTCGTCCTCATCTGTAGCCTCCTCTATATCACTAGTCCTCTGTATTGTAATCTGTATGCAGTGTCCTCTGTATCAGCAACTCCACCAATACTCATACTCTTACTCCAAAACGTCAGTTTTCTCCGTACCAGGTTTCTTTTTGGTTCCAGGTGGAACTAAGTGACAGCTTGAGGTGCAGGGTGTAAGTTAATGCAGTTAAGACTATCATTCTGCACATAGAGCTGTATATATTTTGTACTGTTAAAAAGCTGTCAAGTCCTATTTCGCACCAATACTTGTACTCAACTGCTGGGGTGTAGACCACAAAGTCTTCAGGGAGCAAGCTTGTATATATTTTTGCTCCAGTCTACAACAAGGACACAGTCAATGCCAACAATGAGAGCATGGAGGTTCCTTCTTGTTTCCCCAGAGGCAAGCCCAAGGGGGAAAAGAGAGAGATTGATGCTGTCTGTGCTATTGGACTGGTCCTCTATTGGTACAGGACAAGAGGATCTGTAGCAAGGTCAATGACAATGGCATTTGGCTTGACATCCACAGTGATGAACAAGTAGCTTAAGTTTTCAAGGATAGTGATACTGGTTGCTCTTCACAAACACCCAGACNGGCATGTAACGTACGACGGGAAAACACGAAGTAAAAGTACGGTACCGTACGTGTTGATTTACTACGCGTAAAAAAACATTTGAAAATTACATTAACTGAGGCATTGGGTCATTCCCGTTATTCTAGATCTCTAAATTTTTGGTCTGTCAGTCCATCAGAATTTGGAGTTTTTGACTCTAGATTTAGAGTTTTTAGAACCGGTCGAAGCACCCGGTTCTAAAAACTCTAAATCTAGAGTGGAATCCACGAACCAAAAGTCCGTTGTAAGACTCAACAGAAAGGCCCGCCAAAATTAAGACTTCCGTTGTTCTAAACAACCTCACTAAAAGAGGAGGACCGATAGAGGCGCCTCAATTTGACAATGGCGCTAAGGCGCCCAGTTGACCATAAACAAGAATGCCAATGTCCCAACAATCAGTCTTTATACTAGTCTCTACATTCTATTACCTCTCTTTGTTGCATGAAAGAGAGCAAGAGGAGGCAGACGTCGACCTCAAAGAGGGAGCTCATTGTCCAATCCCCCCTGTCATTTTCCTTAAGATGGTGGAGCCAAACGCCAACAACCCCCCCATCCCCAATGGCCCCAACGGCCGGAGAACTGGTACTGTTAACTACTCGGATGAAGAGCTAGATAGCCTCATGGAGTTGATAGTGGAAGTGCTACCAATTGATTCAGAACAGTGGAATACAGTTGTAGCCAAGCATGCTACAACATGGCCCTTTGACAGGAGCAAGAAATCCATCAGGAACAAGTATAGTGCCATCAAAAGAATGAGGAGCTCAACCGGCAACCCCAACATGCCKAGGTACGTGAAGCTTGCCAGGCGCGCCCATTTCTTGATTGGAAAGAAGGCAAACATTGGTACTGGTGAGGAGGACTTTGATATGAAGACAGGCTTCCCTGTTGTTGATGCTGATGGGGCTTTCGAGATAGGGGGGTTGGAGACGATCCCCTCTGCTGAAGTGCAGCAAGGAAGAGCACCCATTCTCYGCCTTGGAGACGMGTCTTCTGTTGACTCTCCCATTGTGAAGCCCTCTAAAGTACAGTCCTCTGCTACTCCATCGAGTAAGAGACCTTACTCGAAAGCTCCCGACGCTACTATATTCAATGAGTATTTGATTAGCCAGMAAGCAAGGGACAAAGAAAATCGTGAGATGGCTTTAGAGCAGTCCAAGATTGCAAAGGAGGCAAGCCAAATTGCTAAGGAGACCAATCTGATGTGGAAGAATGCTCTGGCAATGGCAATGAGTTGCTTTCAGCAATGGCAAAGCACTCAACAGCTCCAGCCGGTTCTTCAGGACAGAACAAACAACGACGAAACAAACCACGAGGCTACGTCTTACCAGTCCGCCGACAAACGCCCCCGTAAGGAGGCCACCACGGGAGAAGAAGAATCCCATGGTGAAAACAACTAAGAATCCCATGGTGAAAACAACTAAAAAGGCAACAACGTCGGTTAGTTTGCTTAAGCACTAATCGAAATGAACTGTTTTACATTGAATGTAATGAATTTAGTGAGTATCAACTGTAGTATCCACAGTATGCAGTATGCAAGCAGTATTCCTATCCGTCGAAGTATGCCGTAGTAGGGATTCTACTTATTCCTGTTTGTATGGGTTTTTGTGCATACCAATGCGGGATTAGAATAGGATTCTGCTAAATAACGCACGTGGGGATTCCCACGAAACCAGCGGATTCCTACTAGCTTCCTCGGCATGCACATATTTCATATCATTCCCTCATCTTCATTGTAGTATAACAAGGATGTGATATTCATCGCAGGATACATTGAAATCAACATCAGCATTGCTCTGTTTCAACGTGCGTTGGACAACGTTCACACAAAAACCGATCCTTCCGCACGACTACTACACGGTTGAACTAAGCAGCAAGAAACTACACGGTTGAACTAAGCAGCAAATACTCATACTGTAGGAAAAGCGTGATAATACAGGAAAGAATTCAACAATGGTTAAGGAAACTAACCATTGGATAGGATTGACCATGGTGAGGATGGTGAGGATGGTGAGGACCGTAAGGATGGTAAGCGCCGAGTCGTTCGTTGCACGTGCTCTGTCGATCGATTAGTTTCGACACTTGTTCTTGTTTGTTCCCATTGTCGATGCTTGTTTATTTTGGTTGTTTATTCCTGTCGACGATGCTTGTTTATTTCTGCTAATTACATTGAATCTAATTACATTTAATCTTTAACTGTTAACCTTGAACTGACCATGGGAATCACCCGAAGACGTTGTTTCCATGGGGGGATATGTCGCGTCCTACGTAGAAGAAACCCCTTGCAAGATCAATCTTCTTGTAAGGTTCTTCCGGATCAGTTGCTGCTGGCGTCCTCATGAATGTCGATAGGATCTGGTTGTGTCCTACAGTACTGCATTGGTAGTTGTAGAGGTTGATCAACAAGTTCATGATGA